CACTTGGCTTTGTCCTTCCAAGGGACTTTCCCTTACGGGCCAAAGTCAGAGGGGCTGAAGGGCAGTTCCTCCTTCCTGGAAGGAGAGCACTGGAGCTTAGTGACAAAGGCCTACTGTGCTTGAAGAGATCAATCTGAGGAAAGGAGAGAATACAACAGTGAACCTTTGGTGTCTCTTGAAACTTTGCTTTAAAAAAATTCATTTGTATTTTAAACACAAGAAAAATGCACATAATTCTGGTGGACTTGCATATTCTAAATACGTATGCACTTACAGATAAGGAAAAGATCACACTCTTTACTGTTAGCAAACACCCCACTATTAGAGGGATGCTTTGTGTTTATGAACAGAACAGGACCCATTAGAGTTCGGTAAGAAAAGCAACTTGAACAGCACCTATAATAAAATCTTCTAGGAAGTGAAACACCAGAGAGTGCCTGGAAGTATGCAGATACAGACCAAGTCTCATGCATGCTGTCCAGAGAGAGAGCTGCGGTGCCCAGGGGGCCTATCCCCAGATCCTTCTCTAAGGTCCTTCAGTGTCTGCAATTCCACAGGGCAACACCTCGAAGCACGAGGAAGCAGTAGCCATCTAAATTCCCGTAAATTATTCTGAGGGAAAAATCTCGTCAGGGATGACACTTGTAAGAGAAATAGCAGATACGGTTTTACATTGAACAAAAGCCCAGCTTTTTGTTTGTTCTTTGAGGTTAAAATTAAGTCTGTTTTTTTTGTTTGTTTGTTTTTAACTCAGGTTAGAATTAGCCTAGAGGTGAAACAGCCACTATATAATAAAGGTGGGTTCCAAAAGTATATGAGTTCAACCATGGTCTGGAAAATTAGCTGCCATCTGGAGAGGAAGTGGTGGCTTTTCCCCTGGAGTTACTTAGTGTCTGTGTGCATCAAATTAGAAAATGTAAGTTTATTAAAACAATTTGCAATGGATTGTGAAGCATGCTTACAGTTGAAAATGAGATTGTGCTTCTTCAATACTTAACCAGTGGGCTCCTGACCCTCAAGTACCACTTTGGGCATATTGCTACACATGAAGTTTGAAAACTCTTGGAAAAAGCCCGGTATCTACATATATTCAGTGGCCAACAGGAAAAAGCCATCTTTTGGTTTTTTTGCACTATTAAACAGAACAGTTTATTTAACAGCTTTGGAGTGTGATGCCCTTGTCTTTTAGTTTTTTGTTTTTAATAAAAATTGTATATACTTAAGGTGTACAACGTGAGGATTCAGTATACAAATACATTAGTGAAATTATTACTACAGTCAAGTTAATTAACTCATCCCCTCACATCGTTACCTTTTGTGTGAGTGTGTGTGTGTGTGTGTGTGTGTGTGTGTGTATGGTGAAATCTACCTGAAATCTACCCTTTTAGTGAATCTCCAGTATTTAATACAATTGTATTAACTACAATCAGCATGCTGAACTCTAGACTTATTTATCACATTCCTACTATGCAGATATCATCATTCCACTCATAAGTCAGCTTTTGTATTTCCAAATGCTTATGAGAGTTGAAAGCAATAAATGTCCTAAGAGCGCCAAGATTGGTTCTTTTGTGAACTATATGCTGAACTGTCTGCTAAACTAGAGAAAACTCTGTGAAAGTTATGTCTCTAACTCCTTAGTGTACATGATATAGCAGGGAATCACACAACCTCCAAGAAAACTGAGAGGAGAAACCAAACTGGCTAAAAAAATTGAAGGAATCAAATTTAAATAATTCTCAATGCATCATGACATGTGTTAGAACAGTTTTAAATTCTTGTCTGAAGAATAAATGGATGTGGTAAAACTATTAAATAAAATTGTGTCAGGGGCCTCCCAGTCTGGAGGAACTCAAGTTTGTCCAAGATCTACCCATGAGACCAGTACAAAGTCATGAAAAAGCTAATCATTCTTTAGTTTAATCCACACCAATTAGTCTTCCTCCAGGCATCTGCTACCTGATTTTAGAGACCATATCAGAAATGAAAAGAAGCAGTGTCTTATTTATCATATGTCAAATTCAAAGGCATAGCTGCTTGTGAAGACCCTACTATGCTTTATTCACCTCAGAAAGAGATGTGCTTACCGTCCCTAGTATAAAGCAGTCTTTCATGTGGCTTTAAAGATTAGTCCTGGGTCAGGTTATTATAATGCTTCCTCCCTGCAAAAGTCAACCATACAAGTCTCAAATCCTGAAATTCACTGGAATATTTATCAAAGAAATTATTTTAGCATAAGCAAGACCACTGTACTCAAATCTCTGTTTATCAAGTTTGCCTCCAAACTCTGCAAGTGGAGGAAACTTTTATTGGATTTCAGAATTCTCCAAACATTCTTGGGAAAACAGAAATTAACGGGCTTTTGGCATTTCAAGAACCCATTGTTGGGATTATCAAAGGCTTCAGTAAGAAACTCAAAACAAATAGAACAGCAAATCATTAGTGAGAAAGCAATAAACATTGCTAGTGAAATCTATGTCCAGTATACTTAGCACTGAACGAAGAGTTTATTTTATCCAGACCATTTGCAGTTAGATGTACCCTACAGACAGATACCCAGTAATGGTTTGTCTCCTACTTCCTGGCTGGTGGTGTTTCTAGGTTTTGTGTGTGTTGGGAGGGTGGGTCAGGGAAAGGGTGTGACTGCTACTTGAAAACTAGCTCTCCAGGAAGGATCAAATCATCTACAGTGTGACTTTCCCTCATCTCAGGACAACTGCATTTAAATATAGGCCAAAGGCTTAAGTCACAGGAATAAGGCTTAATCACAGGATTTCAGAAAATAGTCTTTGGGAAGCTTGGGACAGGATGGTGCAGTTGCCCTAGAGCCTCTGAAAGTACAATGTGTAGGTCTGCCTTTCTCAGATTAGGCTGAATCTTCAAGTCCTTGCTGAAACTTCCAAGTCTTTGTTACAGATTGCCTTGGATTCCTAGAGCCTGGTTTAATCAGTTTATTATCAACTCCAGAATGACAGAGGAGTATACACAGAGAGGACTTGTCTCAGGTGAAGTGAGATAATTATTTCCTTAATGAAAAGCGAATTTAAATTCTAGGTTACTTACAGTAGCTGCTTGTTGGGGGAGGGGAACCACAAATTTAAAGTTGTGGTGATTTTTTTTTTTTTTAATGTTCGGGAAAACGTGTCAAGCAATAATATATTAAGTGTGCAATACTTTTGTCAGGTAGAATGTCCTGGCTTTGGAAGGGTGAGAAGAGGATTGTTACAGCAGTCTGCCTTTCAAAGGGCAGCTTTGATCATATGGTTAACTTGACATTTGGGCTGAGGAATTCAACCTCACCAGGGATGGGACTGGATTTTACCGAGCTCTCCTTATCCAAACTACAACATGCTTACTGTTTTCTCCCCACATTCCCCACATCTCAGCCTCCAGGACCAGCTACCAACGAGTCATTTTGTCCATTTTCATTGGTCTGACCACACAAGGAACATCCTGTTTCTTTAAATCCCCAATGCTCAAATTGCTATTGTAGAAACCAACTCCCTGTCAATTTTCTCCACATTTAATCCTCAGCTTCTTGTCATATTTTCATTTTTATGCATTGGTTCCCATGGTAACAAATCTATTGGTAGAGAAAGTGTGACTCTGCTTTTAGCCCTCTGCACAATACAAAATCCTTCTAGTGATTCTCAGGCAAGTGTCATATAAAAAGGCAGGGAGAGACTACAGTTCCCTAGGCTAATGCCTCTAATCCCCTGCCCCACCACCACATGTTCTTTCCCACCCTATTCCCCAACCAGGCCCACTGCCCAGAATCCCTTCACCTTTTGATCCAAGTATTCGAAGTGCCCTCCTATTCAACTACAGATGCCAGGACTGAACCTTTTTTGTTCAGATGGCTTCCTCTTCTGTCAGGACTTACCAGACAGAAATGTGTTAACTAATGGCAATGGACATTTGGAGGCAACATGGGAGAAGCAACTTGCACTCATTTTTCTATAAAATATCCTCAATATGCATCTGAGATGTATACAGCCCAGGGAATAAGTAGGTACTGAATGAGCTCCTGAGGAAGAGGAAGAGATAACAAAGATGTAGAGAAGCAAAAAACCTTGTAACTGGTGGCCAAATGTGAGCAAGGGAGCTACAGTTGGGACAATTCAGGGTTCAAGTAAGGAAAAGGTAAGAAACCTACCAAAAGCTAAGGAAATGGAGCATAGAGAAAAAAGGAGTTTTTGAGTTAACTGTCTGCAGAATGGGAGCCTGCAAAGGAGAGAATAGCTTTCTGCAGACTTTGGCCCAACTCCGTCTACAAAATATTTTTCCAAGTAATCTTTCCCTTAATAACAGATTGTATGTTTTATTTTGAATTCTAGAATTCCACTGTGGCTTGGCAGTAAGTTATATGCCTAGCAACCCCAAATCTCCTATGTCCTCAGTACTTAGAAAAAAATCAGGAACTGTTCATCAGAAATTAAACAGTCCCCATGCTGAATGTGCTTTTTATTTAGTTTTTTTGAAAAGTTAATGAATTCAGGGGAATGAAAATAGATGTTAGAAACAAAAATGTGGGTATCTCTAGTTAAGAAAATTATCAAATGTAAATGATTCCTTTTTTCGTTGGGTCTTATAAAAATATGTGATACTTAAGCACACTGAAGTTTTAAAGTTGGCTGATTATATTGTACAAAGGTATTTTTGGCCCTTTAAAAATTATTTTCCTACATTAAGAAAAGTTTTCTTATATTCAGAACTTTTTATTGTGACTCAGGTTTTGTGTCTCTGTATAGACACACATACATAAGTGTTTTTCTTTGCGCACTTGTTTTGCACAGGTAAGAAAATGAGATTAAATAATGTCCAGGTATGCAGGTCAACTGACTTTTATGGTAGCTAGATTAAGGAAAGCATCTGATGAATGGACAAAAGAAATCACATGGTATTTCTTTCTACCTTTCCATCTCTCTTCCCCTTCCCCAGCACTCTACTAAAGAACGTCTCTTATTTAGTCAGGAAATCTTATGTAATTTTTTGGAAAGTCCACAGGAAAACCAAGTTGCAAGTCTCAGGCAGATAGAACATGAAGCAATTCCCATATTTGTTAGAATAGTGATTTATTTTCAGAATGTAATGCCAAAATAAATTTTATATTCAATACTTGTAGAGTCTTTCCACTCAGAGGACTCTTACTGGTCTTGAATGTGGAAAAGGCAGCTGTTCAGGGCAGTGAGTAATGTTGTATGTTAGGTTTTACTCTAGAAAATTTGGTTTTAGCTTTGATGACACCCAGTGTCAATGGAATGCAATAAATGTTTTATACTGCTTTCTGATGTTTAGGTATTTCCCTTTAACATCCTCAACTGCATTTTTCTCCTTGAAAACGCAAGCCTTACTGTTTTCTGTTTGGAATGAAGAAAAAGATAATTGATAGGCAGATAAGCTGGATATTTTTGTCTCAAAGCCAGTCAAGTTTCTTTTTGGACTCAGTGTATAAAAGGGACTAAAGGAAGCTTAAGGACAATGGCATTGTCTCCATATAAAGGAGCAAATTTTTCCTGGTTAAAAATCAGAGGTGAATCTACTAAATTGTTTGTAAAATTCAAAGACTATCTCAAATAACCTTGGCAAAGTAAGGTTTTAAGTGCTGTAGTTTCATTTTTCCCACTTTATAACCACCCAAGGGCACCCCCCGACCCAGCTGTATATAAGTAAACCATAATATGAACTATGGTCTCTTTCTACTCAGAGAAGAAATATTAACAGCAGCAATTCTAAATAGACAGTGATAAATTTTTAATTGGTCTGTAAAGAATTCTAAGTAAAAGGATATTAGATCCTAGGTTTTTAGAATTTTAAGTATCCATGAAAATTATTCTTTCATTCCTAAAGTGCTTGACAACTGACTACTTTGGATCTTAGTTATTGGGGGTGGGGACACAACACAATCTTTTTATTATTGTGTAAAGAAGTTCTAATTCCACCTATTTATATTAATATTTTTCAAATGCTAAACACATGTGCACACATACAAATTATCCATTTTTCCTTTGAGATCATATAATTCAGTTCGTGAAATATTTCACTCTTCTTTAAGGAAGATTCCTATGCAGTGATGCAACACTGGGCCACTATTTTAATAAGATGAAGACAGTCTCTAGACTCCTTTTTCAACATCTGACTTCACTACCATATCTGCAGCACAACAGTGACATCTTAAGGCCAAGTAACTAGAACTCCTTTAGCCAGAGAAAGAACTTGAATTGGATCTGTTCTCAAAATTTCATCATGTTATCAAGTAGTTTTCAAGTTCAGTTTGCAACTGGTAGATCTTTATAAATGCTACTTTATGACTTCTTTTGCAGTCTTTGTGAACATTTTAATGTGCACTGGTAAACACTAACGTTTTACAAAGACATATTGTATATTAATGCATGCATTTCATTGCATAGTTTATTGACACTCCCCTTGTAAAGCTTTTATGGAAGAAACAACAAGCCACAGCAGTATAGCAAAAGAGGCTTAATCTTTATAAATTGGGGCCTTTTCTGTCTCTTTGCTAGCCTAGGTGGCTGTATACAAATTCAGGTGGGAGGGGGCAAGAAACACCTCTTAACATTTAAGGTTTTCTACATGGGTGAACTCTAGTCAATTCAAAATAAATTGCTTACTTTAGTAAAAAATTTTACCATTTTATAAAAAAATTAAATCATGACATGTTTAATTGAAATGGCTGTATTGTAATTAATATTTTGAGATAATTGTGATTTTGAGCTTCAATTATATATAAAAAGTTGTCATTTTTGTATGTGCTAAAAATATGTATCACAATTAAACAGTACTTTTTAGTTGAACTACATATTGATGTAAATAAAAACTGAATGAAGACATATTTACTACTTTATTAACATAGATTGTGAATGTACTTAATGGTTTTTTTGCAGTATGAGACCATAATGACTTTGAAAGCTGCTTCATTTTATGTGCAAAGGAGTCCTATGAATCTATATTTTAAATTTACTCAATCGGTGAAATTAATTACTTTGTCAGTTAATTTGCAAATGCAAGCTGTACTCTCCAGTTTATGTATTGACACTAATTGGTAAAGGTGTACAATGTGATTAGAATGCATTTTGAAGATGCTTTCTGTACAGATACAAAATACAGGGACTACAATAATGCTGTGCAGTGTATAGCAGAGCCATTTTTCGGCTTTGGTGTACTCAATTTTTTCAGTATTTAAAAACGTGTTTTGAATAACATAAAAGTCTCTTTATTGTATAAATAATAAAATGTCACATTATTGTAAAGTGTCTTTTGTCTAATATCGAAGCAGATTTCTTAGCCACAGAGTTGTAATATGAAAAGGGCTTGTTTTTTTAAGCCAAAAACAACTATTATAATCAATATTTGAAAATGTAACTTTTATTATGAACAGTAGTATTTATCTTTATTAGCAATGAGTTTTTTCATAATATGAGCATGCCTCAATCACCCAAAAGCTAGCTAGCTACCTACCTGCCTATCTATGTAAGTTAATATACATTCTGTTGATTGGCTACTTAATAGAATCACATGGTAAGTTTTATAATGACTGATCAGCCTACCTCTGATATTTTTGGTATAAATAAAAATATTTCTACTTTATTTTTACTAAATCAAGTTAACCAGTAACAAACTCCCTTTAAGAAAATTTCCACATGACTACAAGTTTAGTCTTATGAAGATTAGAAATAAATTTGAAAAGTAAGGCCCTGGAAATAAAATAAAAAAAAAAACTGTTGGATTAGAACACATCAACAGAGTAGATAATGTATACAAATATCTGCTTAATAAATTACTTAAGAAATTTCGAAGACTTCTATGTGGTATATGTTATTAGTTATTTTCTGTTGCTGACATCTATAGAATTAAAATAAGCTCTTCAGTACTTTTTTAACCAACTGAGCCACCCAGGCGCCCTCTTCAGTACTTTTTTAAAGAAGAACAAAAGGTATTTTTAAACACACTCTGAGGGAAAAATATGCAGATCCAATCCCTTCAAATTTCTTAAATCTAGAAGTACTAGGTTACTGTAGGGAAACTTAATAGTAAGAAATCATTTTAAAAAAACTTGTCAAGTTTTAAATTCAAAATTCTGAGAGCAACTTAAACAACGCTTTTACTGTTTTCTCTGCCAATAACTACATCTCGTGTAATATTCCTGTTACATTAGAAATTATGACAAAATGGTTTCATAAAATGTAGGGAAAAGGCTAGACAAGAAACATTTCAACTGGATTAAAACAAAAGCGAGACAGTGAATGTTAATTTAAAACTTATACCAAGACCAACCACATCACAAAAGTCTTATCACGGGTAAGGAAAAGCCTTATTTTTTTAAATGCCAAAGAACAGTTTTGAATAAAATTCAATTCAATTTTATATCTAACAAAAAGGTAGAAATTAGATGGTCATATTCAAATCAACTGGTCACATTAAATGTAACACGAACAGAAATGGTGGGAAAAATCCCACTTCTACAAAAATGCTTTCTCATTATAAAAATATCAAACTAACTTAAATAAAAAATCACTTCTGAAGAAATTGTTTACTATCTTATAAGGAATGAAAGTAGAATAAATCTTATGCAAAACATTCAAAATAAATGCATAAACACTGTATGTGGTTATCACCATTACGAATGAACGATACCTTAGAAAAACGTTAGTTATCAATGTAAGAAGTCTAAGAATTAACATGACCAAGATTATAAAACAACTCCAATTTAAGTAGGAATCCGGTCTCTCAAATATTCCAGAATAGCAGCTGTTCCTTTCATTAATATGGCTGCTCGAGGAACACGGAATGGATTTCCATCTAGTAGTAGTGTTCTAAATAAAAGAGAGAATTAAGAATTTTAACATTTTCCATTAGGAAGGCTTTTCTTCTCATTTCAATTGCAATTTCATAAATAAATTTGTGTATTTTTTTCTATTTGTCCCTTTTCAAATCTAAGCATTTCAATAGTTGGAATTAGAACTACAATAATAACCCAAACAACATTAATTGAATACTTATTATATGAAAGGTATTGTGCTGAGTAATTTATGTTCCCTGACTCTCTTAATTATCTTAACAATCCTATGATGTAGACACCATTGATATTCCTATTTAATAGGTAAGGAAACATAAGTTCAGAGAAGTAAGACAGACATGTCCCAAGATCATACAGCTATTAAACAGAGGAGCTGTGACATGAGCCACCATTTTACCCATCTTCTTCTCAATCTTATAATGACCATATACTACATGGTTAAATTATATTTATACATTAGAATGAGCATACTTGTCAGTATACCAAGGACTATAATGTAATCAATATATCCCCCCTCCGCCCTGGGAAACATCGACAAATTCCTGCTCTCTACCTCCCTTGACCAGATGCACACAGAAAGTCTATGTACATGTTCTAAAATGAGGTTCAATTTCAGATTTGAGGACTGGTTGATTTGTTTCTTTATATAATTAATGAAATAAATTATAAGATAAAGAGACTTTTAATTTTCAAAAATTTAAGTGTGTAAACAAAAGCCAAAGGATTCATACCATATTACACAATAGATCTAAATGATATCCTCAATATTTCTATGGGCTGTGGGGATTCTTTCAAAGGCTGATTTTCTTAATTTATAAAAAGGAATTAATTACAGTCACTCCTCATTATTCACAGCCTCTATATGTGCTAATGTGCCTACCACTAAAAATTATTAGTAACCCCAAAATCAATACACAGGGCACTTTCGAGGTCATTTTTGGATATGCAGAGCAGCAAAAAATTTGAGTCAATCACGAGGCACATTCTCAGCTGAGGTCAGAAAGGTGATGCTTTCCCTTCTTGTGTCAGTTCTCACACTGTAATCAAGCGTCCTTTCTGTGGTCTACTTAGTAGTGCAACATTTTTTGCATTTTTGTACTTTGTGTTGGTGATTTCACTGTTTAAAATGGCCTGCAACTGTGGTGCTGAAGTGTTTTCTACTTTTCCTAAACACAAGAGGCTGTCGTGTGCCTTACAGAGAAAATATATATACCAGATAAGCTTCATTCAGGCATGAATTTCAGTGTTGTCTGGCCATAGTTAAATGTTAATGAATAAATAATATTAAATACAGAAACACACATAGAACAAGGTTATGTATTGACTGGTTCATGAAAATGTGACCAGAGGCTCCAAAGAGGCTAATTATACTTCCCCTAGCAATCATGGTTCAGTATTCACTAATTTGGTGTTCAGAGACTTTATAAAATACAACTACTGCAAACAACAAGAACCAACTGTATTTGCCTCTTACAAGTCACTAATATGAGGCACCAAAGCACATGCCAGTGCTGCCCTAGCAAAGTAAAATATGCCCCACCATCATACACAGTGTTCAATAAATTAAATAAATTAAATTACTTCTGACACATTCTGCTTAAGTACTTGGCTTTCTGTTGACATCTCAAAACTCTCTTTATATTCATTTAGCAAGCACTTATTGAGTGCTTACTGTGTTCTAGGCACTGGGACAACTCTTTTCTAAAGGAGGAAAAAGAAATGACACAAATGAGTCCAAACAAAGCAGGATGGAAAATCAGAGGGAGGGACTAACTATGCTTGGAGAAGAGGGAAGGTTTTCAAAGATGAGAGGCATTTGAGGTTAAGGTAACAGCTAACACAAAGAATAAGAAAGACCATGCTGGGCTTGAAATAAATGGTGAAAGTCTGTAATCTGTAATTCTGAGCAACCTTGTATACATAACTGGGGAGTTTATATTTCCCTGACATTTTTTATGCAGTGCAGTTTCAAGTTATACACATACACAGTGATGACAAAAGTATCAGAAAACAATCAGTTACTATATTGACATATATTATAGCATATAAACAAAGCTAAAAAATATATTATTTGGTAAAACTTGAAAAATGGAATTGGGATTCTGGATTTCGTTACCTGTTATTTTAACACAACATTAAATTTTTTACTTCAACTTTCCTGCAAGAGTACCTCAACAAGAGAAAAAAAAAAACAACTTATAAATCGATCAAATAAATGGAAAAACTTAGTAGAATGGTGTAGTTACCTTAAGTTCACACAATTACCAAGCTCTGGTGGAATTTGTAGGAGGTCGTTATTTTGAAGGTCCAGGGTGATCAGATTTTCCATTGCCTTCATTTTCTGAGGATCCACAGATCCAACCTGATTGTTACTAATCAAAATTGTTTCAAGTGTGGGGATGTGATACAGAACTTCAGGTAGTATTCTGAACCTATTAAAATATGAACAGAACACCTAAATGTATTGGAATCAAGGGAAAACCATTCCTTCAAATAGATGATCTTAAGTTTGATATCATAATGTAGTTTCCTTTACTGTAATTTATTTTATATTTGGTTTAAGTCCTGTGTTCAAATTTTCAAGAAAATGAACTGATTTTGGAAACCTTAAAATATATGTTAAGTGGACAGACTTGTAACATTTTCTGTTTATTGTGTAAATCCAACAAAAGTATAGAGTAAATTCTCCCATGTTTTTCTTTTCACATTTAGGAGACAAGAAAATCCTCCTGAGATTCTATATAAAATGTCCCCATGTAGGTATTCTTCCTTAGTTTGCTTTTACTTCTTATAAAACAGAATTACTACCAATATATTAAATAAATACTAGAGATTTATATTTTGCTCTGATGGAAGCTTCCAAAATGAGTGCAATTTTGGTTCTTGAAAAGATGACAAACTAACATAGACTGCTGCCTGCTCATCCAAAGCAACACTGAAGATGTCACAAAAAAGAAGGGAAGGCTGATTGCTCTCAGAGCAATACTCAGCAATTAATGCAAGATTATTGAGGATCTCTTGGCATGGTTACAGTGTGAGATAACTGTGGCATGGACTAGAAAAGACAAGGGTTGGGCTGAAGGAGAGATTTATAGCTGTGCCCTTTTAACTTCCCTATACTGCCCTTCTTTTGCTGCCTTGATGTTTAAAAAAAAAAGAAGGAAGGAAGGAAGGAAGGAAGGAAGGAAGGAAGGAAGGAAGGAAGGAAGGAAGGAAGGAAGGAAGGAAGGAAGGAAGGAAGGAAGAAGAAAAAAGCAATAGCAAGTGTAAACTCAAGACAGCTCTGAAGTTCCAGAGGGACTGGAGAGTTAATGACTAGGAGTACAGAGGGACCAAACTGCTCCAGAGCAGTCCTTCCTCTTCTTCCCACCAATGCATGAACAAGGTAATTTAAAAACACGTAGTTCACCTGCTGACACAGAAGTTAGGGTTAGCTTTTGCCATCTTCCCTAAGACATTACATGACAATGTGATTGACAGCTCAATAGACAATATAGAACCGGTAGTTCAGTTCACAAAACTTAGCAGAGATCTGAGAAGTGCATATATTTTTAAAAATGACAACAATTATATAACCTACACATGAGAAACCATGAGCAATAATGAAGCAGACAGAACAAAAATTTAAATAGGCAGTATTTTAGACACATCACTGTGCCTTTGCTTCCTTAATTGCAAACGAGGAATAATAATAGTACTAAACTTATACACTTGTTATAAGGACTGAATGATTATATTTCAGCTGGAATACAGTGCATAAATGTTAGCTATTAATATTTAGATTGTTACCAAAATCAACTTGCATTATAGGAAACAAATGACATAGTTGTTAAGAGCCCAACTGTTGGAGGCAAGATCTGGAATCGCTCTAATGTACTAGTTATGTGAACCTTAGCAAAACATAAATCTCTAATATTTACTTAATATATTGGCAGTAATTCTGTTTCATAAGAAGTAAAAGCGACCTAAGGAAGAATACCTACATGGAGACATTTTATAGAGAAGCTCAGGAGGATTTCCTTAACTTCCAATCTTCGATTTTTAAATGAACATCATGACAGAAACCACCTTTTGTGAGGATTAAATGAGTTAATATATGCACTTAGTCCTGTGCCAGCAAATAAACCCCCAGTAAATATTAGCTACTCTTAATTATTAGCAGTATCTTTAGAGTGTTTGCAGAATAAAATCTATTAGTTGGCATACAAAGCTCTGACAGGACTCGCTACTGCTCACATGCCCAACTTCATTTGTTATTTCTACTCCTCTACCCCCTCACTTTTTGTCCCGAGCCATATCAAACTTCTTAAAGTGTCCCAAACACACCATGTTCTCATATGTTTGTGCCTTAGTACATGCCATTTGCCCCACCTGGGATGCCCTATCCCTGCATGTCTGGCTGATGTCTAATTTTTAAGTCTCAGTTTCAATGCTATCTCCTCTGCCCTCAGGCAATCTCAGGAAACACCTTTACCTATGCACTGTGTTTTCACCATAGCAATTATAATTATTTATTTACATATTTGTCTTCCTACTGGGCTATAAGTTTCTTAAAATTGTTAAAAGGAATAAAAGTCTACTAAATAATCAGCTGTGAAAACTCTAAGAAAGCAATATCACTTTCAATTATAAGTAGAATAAGGTGAAAATAAACTTGAATATTTAAATAAAGTAAACACATGGGGCCTTTTTATTTGGCTCTTTTAAGTGTATTCTCTAAGACCTACAAATTCTCCACATAAAAATCTTCAGTCACAGATTAGTCTGCTCTCTCACCTGTTAAAGGAAAGATTAATTGTTTGTAGTCTTATCAGCGATTCCATTTCTTCAGGCAAAGAATTTAAAAAATTGTTCCTAAATTGGAAAGAAAAAGATTTACAAAGTTGAAAATCTGTACAACTTTAATTTATAATTAAAGTATTGATCAGGGTGCCTGGGTGGCTCAGTTGGTTAAACATTTGCCTCTGGCTCAGGTCATGATCCCAGGGTCCTGGTATCGAGTCCTGCATTGGGCTCCCTGCTCAGGGGGGCCTGCTTCTCCCTCTCCCTCTGTCCTTCCCCTCTGCTCATGCTCTCTCTCTGATGTGCATTCTCTCAAAATAAATAAATAAAATCTTAAGAAAAAATAAAGTGTTGATCAGACAAAAAATTATGTAGCTCGGTTTGTTAGTCCTTGATCTGATCTCATTAAGGCTGAGTCCTGAGAATTCTGAATCAGTCAGCTGCCTCAGGTATTTGATCAGTGTGCCAAATCCAAATAATACCAATACGCAACCAACTGATAAAGCAACCAATGCTTTAATAATACATTTAACAGGGCAAACACTGTAAACTCATCATTTATCTCCTTCAAACTGATCTCAGCAATCCTTCTCACAGATAGGGCCCTTGAGATCATGCCTGTATACATTATTTGATTCCACAAATATTTGATTGGTGTTTAATACATGTATCTTGCATACAGACATGAAATTCTACTCTAAGCAGAACTGTAAAATTTTATGAAAAAAAATGAAACAGGAAAGTGATGAGATTCTATATATTTAGAAATTTAGGGCTTTCTACTACATAGGTATTAAGCCAGTCCATTTCTACTCTAAGTTTAGAATTTCAATTTATACAATGCATATATTTTTTAAGAATCTTAGAATGAAGCATGGCAGTAACCAGAATCTCACTTATTGTCAGAAGGATCTGGAACAATGTTAAAAGAAAGGTTAACAACAGGAAGGCAGAAGGATTCTAGAGCTTATATAATTACTTATAATAGAAAATATTTGTGAGAAAATTATATTCAACTAGATGGCTACCTATTACAAATGGGTAATTTTCTCTAAATTTCTTTGTGTTCAGAAGTCAAGCCTAATAATATGTTAAGTCATACTTTCTACACCTATGTTTTCTTTTCTCTGTACTGTTCTCCAGTTATTGTCTTTATATAAGTTATACCAAATAACCTTCTGCTGGTTTCTATCTTTTTCCTACTGATATCAGATATGAAAGTGTACATTAGGGGCGCCTGGGTGGCTCAGTCTGTTAAGCGACTGCCTTTGGCTCAGGTCAAGATCTTAGGGTCCTGGGATCGAGCCTCACATCGGGGTCCCTGCTCGGCAGGGAGTCTGCTTCTCCCTCTCCCTCTGCTGCTCCCCCTACTTGTGCTCTCTCGCTCTCTCTCTGTCAAATAAATAAAATAAATAAAATAAAATAAATAAAAGTGTACATTAGTCACTTAATTAGAAACCTAAAGGTATAGACAGTGTCACACACACACACACACACACACACACACACACACAAGAATGGGACAAAAATAAAGAGAGCAGTAATAAGTACATGAATTCATTCTCTCTACTCCATTAATACTGAACTACAATGTGGTTTTATACTGCTTTGCCAGTGTAATTGCCACCCCAAAACAGAAGCAAGTCTACATTTAATAGGAGCGGAGTATTAGTAGATCTGCTTTAATCCCATAAGCCAAAAAAAAAAAAAAAAGTCTCTATAGGCAGAATAAATCCTTAAACAGATACAATTTAGCTTACTGTTATTTACCTATTGCTTGAGCAGGGCAAGAGGAGCTACAGCTTAAATAAACTAAAAGCACATCGGAAGTGCAGATAATAGAGCTATAGCTTACAAATAAAGACTTAAAGCCCAAACAAATAAATACTTGACTATCTACCTCTGAGTCATTTATTATTACCCTCAAAGAACTGTGGCAATTCTGATCCTGTCACTTCAACTTAGGACTTATTTAAATGAAACTTCCTATTACCCCTGCAGAACCTTAAACAGTTTCTTTCCTTTTGTTGCCATTCATGGTGGTCTTTTTCTTTCTTTCTGGCCTTGAATGTTGACTATAATATTTTAAAACCAAATAGGTTCTTTTTAAGAGAAGCCACGCTAGCTGCTGCGCCAGCATAGGATTTTGAGAGTTTTATGCTATTTACTTTCAGAAAAGGAAAAACGGGAAACACTTTCCATGGGTTATTTGTAGTTTTTCTTAATTAAGCATGAATTTAAAGAATGTGTTAATATTTTCTAATATTTTAAATAAACTGCCTACAAATGACAGATATTTGATTAAAGTATTTCCTAAATGCTTAATTTTAGATCTGTCCTAAAATGTAATTAATAAACTAAAGAGCAATTTCCACACTTACTTAGGAAATATGAGGGAAAGAGCAAATGTTAGGCAAAACTCAAAGACAAGTTATAATGAAAAAGTGAAGCAATAACATCAATAAATACCTGAGATCTAAAAAAGTCAATTTTTGAAGCGTACATAATTCCAAGGATATAAAGGAAAGCTTATTAAAACTGAGATTGACATCAGAAACCATTTCCTTCAGTTCCACAATCCTGAAACAAAAATAATTTAAAGATGTTAGCTCTTGAATTCAGTGTCAGAACTTCAAAACTACAAGCAGACATAGAAGGAAAAATCCTATATTATTTTTGCTAATTAAGATTTTCTGTAACTTTTACTTCTCTCACAAAAATTTCAATTAGTTTGTATTCTATAATAGTAGTTTTCTTTTAGGCTGCATAATATAATATTCTCTGTATCTGAGTACTTCACAATGTTTTTTAACTATGATACGTCAACATTTTTAAAGTATAGTATTTTTTGTCCAAATTATCATTGTATTAATCATGACTGCAATAAAACATTAAGTTAATTCCTAGTTTGGTAAGTGTCACGACTAAGCAACTTAAGTCAAAGACTTAAAGAGAAAGACTTAAATACTGCTAAGTAAGCCTAATCAACCTTAGCAATTTTAAAGCACACTATTAACTATAAGAACAAGAAATGTTATATATGATTTACCAAGAAATGAAACTATATGAAAGAAAGAATATCAACTGCTGTGCTAAAGAAAGATGAGTTTGGATATGTAACTGATAAAATTTCTTTGGAAAGTTTTTGGATATATGTATTGAGAGCCATACTCCTTTAGATAATTCTTCTGGAAATCCGGTCTAAAGAAACAGTATGTTTTGTTTTATTTATTGCCGTAATCAACCTTATAGTATATGATAGATTTTAAAAGTATTGTTTACAACATAGGAAAACACGACAAATTAACCAGTTAAGATACAAATTGTATATGTAATTCTAAATAGGGAACAGTTTGAAATAAAACGTGCCATGAATAGAATAGTGATGGGACTACAAATGATCTGTCCCTTCCTTTTGTCTAAAATTTTATGAATAAGTATTATTTTCACAATCAGGAAATCATATAGTGAAAAATATGACTTGTGAAATAAAAATTTAAGAAAGAGGAAAATGACTCAGAAACTCTCTAGATCAAGGTATGTCCTTGCTATCTTTCTACTCTGGCCCTCTAAATTGCCAAAAATATGATGAAATAACGGCAATAAAAGAATACCATACTGTTTTACATATGAATTACCACATTGTGAGGTAAAATGAGAAATAAGTAATAAGGTGATGTGTCCATCTTCATTCCCAGTTTTGATCCAGGATCCCCAATGCAAACTTATCCTGACAGCAAATCTAACTGCTCAGTTCTTCTGTCAAGCCCTCAGAGCCCTTTAAACAAGAGAGAAGGAGAAGAACTAGATCTCCTTTTGCTATGGAATCTCGAAGTTAATTTACTTTTAAGATCTATATTCTCCAAACTATGCCCTGCAAAATAGAAAGCAAGTTAAAGTTTGTCTGACTGTTTAAAAATTTTAAACATCTAAAAAATGTTTTTGACGGTCAGATGAAAGCCATTTTATTTTCCCAATCACTTTTTTTTTTTTTTTTTAAGTACTTAAGTGCTTACTAAGTGCTAGGCACTGGTTAAATGCTTTGTGTGGATTATGTCATTTAATTTAATTCTTATAAAATACATACTTTATTATCTTTACTTCATAGGTAGGGAAACTAAGAGCAGCTAGTTAGCCTGTCCAAAGCTACACAGCTCACAGATCTGGGATATAGATACATGCAACTGACTCCATTGTCCAAGTTCTTTACCATTACCCTATTCTGTCTCCCCTACTGTTGTTTTAATTGGCAAGTTTATTTGTCAACTTTCTTTGGGTATACAGTTTACTGCAAGATAACAATCATTTTAAAAAGGTCAATATTATACTAATTTTCTCTCATAACCTAAAGATTTTGCTGTAACTAATATCAACAAAGACATACTGAACAGCACAAGTACAATGCACATGACTTCTAATATTTGATAGTAAAGAATCCTTTTCTGGGAGGAAAATATTAAGAGGATTATCTGGGGTTTTTATTGATTTCACTATCAGTGAAAAATTCAGTGGCTTGGCAATTCATTAACGTAAAGCCCAAAATGAAAATTCCTATTAATCCACATGGACCTGGCTTTGGATGGTGTCCTAAAACTTTTCCTTTAATATTTCATTACATGGAAAAAGTTAATTTAGACTTTTAATAATTCTAATAATTCTAATAATTTAATAATTCTAATTTTCCATGTTTAAAATGTAAAAGAAAAAGAAATCAAATTTTTAAAAATGTATATACCTCTCAGAACTGATGTTAATATGTCTCAGAGAATACTTAGGTGAATTTTGCTAACTCCCTCAAATATCAATAATGAAAAAAATTCTACATATGCTTTCAAATTAAAAAACTATGAAAAATAATTATTCTTGTCACTGAGATGCAAACACAACTGAGAATGAGTCACAACTTAATAGAAATGACATCATGAACAATTCTCACCTTTTAGGAATTTCACATAGCTGATTCTTACTGAAGTTAACAGAAGTGATAATGTTGCTTTTTACTGCATCAAATACTTCATCAGGAATTAAAGTTGTTTGTTTATCACTAAATGAAAAATGGTTTAAAAATGCATCATCCTTAGTAGTCCAGAAAGATATGATTATTACTTTTCACTTTTAAAGGCCCTCAAGGATTTTATGAGTTTTCAAGGCAGCAAGGCAGTTGCTTATGAAGAACACTTTGAAGTTCTGTAAACAATGCCAGAAAAACCTACGAACTCACAAAATATTAACCATTAAGAATTCAGACAACATAACATATCACAATACATTGTACTATACCTTCTGAGCATTCACATACTCAGTGTGAATAAAACCAGATATATCTTCAGAGTCTAAGATGTTTAGAAATCATATTAAATGGATAATTAGTAAGTAGATTCCTCTACCTCAGAATAGAACTAAATCTATAATTTTAAAACTGTTGTTATCCCATTTCTAACAGGGATTATCTGCCAACTTTATGTAGCTATATAGTTAACTGCAAGGGAACAATCATTTTTAAAAGTTCAACATCGGGGCGCCTGGGTGGCTGTCGGTTAAGTGCCTGCCTTCGGCTCAGGTCACGATCTCAGGGTTCTGGGATGGAGCCTCAGGTTGGGCTCTCTGCTCAGCAGGGAACCTGCTTCTCCCTCTCCCTCTGCGCTCCCCCTGCTTGTGCTCTGTCAAATTAATTAATAAAATCTTTAAAAAAATAAAAGTTCAACATTATACTAAACTGTTTCTCATAACCTAAGCCAATTTCTCCTTCCTTTAGCATGTGACAAGGTAGACAGGGTAGTGGCCTTAGACTAAACTATTCCTGGTTTTACCATTAAGGGCCTTTTTAAAATTCACTTTCTCTTAACCTCAGTTCTGTGAAATTAGAATCTAAGAGTTATTCATTGTTATGTGGGCCAGATCTTTTGCAAATATAAATGTAAATAAATTTCCTTCTCAATAAGATTTTCAATAAAGTATACATTTAATCTTAAATGAAAGTATAGTAGTACTCTGACATTTGCAGACTTAACAATTTGTTAATGTTATAATTAGCCATTTGTCCCCACGTTCTTCTTTTACAATTTTCAATGCTTAATCCATCATCCACTTAAAAATATTGTTGATGGAATGCCAAATTAATGACTTTATAAACAAGAAAACAATTATTACATATAATGTCCAATAAAGAGGAACGTGTAAGAAAGGCATTGTAATACAGATAGGTAAAGAGAGCCTAAATTTAGTTTTTATGCCTTCTACCTCTGTGTAGGGCTCTATTTTCTCTTGTGCAAATGTAGCATTTTTATCTTTTCAATGAAAAATGCTCAAATCATGGGGAACTGATTTACTGTAATCAAACATTGAAGATTCACACTCTTTAAAAAAATTTAGTTGACAGGGGCGCCTGGGTGGCTCAGTCGTTAAGCGTCTGCCTTCGGCTCAGGTCATGATCCCAGTGTCCTGGGATAGAGCCCCGCATCGGGCTCCCTGCTCTGCGGGAAGCCTGCTTCTCCCTCTCCCCTCACCCTCTCCTCATGATGATTTCTTCTTAAAGAAGAAATTTAAGAAAAAAATTTTCTTAAAAAAAAAAAAAATTTAGTTGACAGCATTTATGCCTTGATATTGGGAATTCATTTATATTTTATTTTTAAAGATTTTATTTATTTATTTGACAGAGATAGAAAGAGAGCACAAGTAGGCAGAAAGGCAGACAGAGGGAGAGGGAGAAGCAGCCTCCCCGCTGAGCAGGGAACCCGACGTGGGGCTCGATCCCAGGACCCTGGGATCATGACCTGAGCCAAAGGCAGCCTCAGCTCAACCAACTGAGCCACCCAGGCGCCCCAAGGAATTCATTTATATTTTAAATGGAATATTCCTTTTCAATTAAAATCTCCGAGGAAAATAAATTACAATAAATTTAGAATCAAAACAATCTAAGATGTATGATCTTCAGTGCTATCTTTATAACACTTTTGTGATATCTGTGACTTTAAAAAGTAGGAATGGTTATCTCGAATAAAATTATAGATTATTTGGAAGATTAAAAGCAACAGCATATGTAAAATACCTAGTATAGTGCCCAGCATAGAATAGGGACTCAATAAATCGTATCCATTCAGGGTTGAGGGAATAAAGGCAGAGGAAAAAAAAATTCTAAGCAGGAATCAAGTCTGTCTCATAATCATTCAGTGTATTATGACACCTACCATAGGATTTGAAACCTCGTAGGTTCCAAAAATGTCTACTGAATAAATGGGTATATTATGTGGAAGAGAAGACATGCTAAGCTGCCATCTATTCTGAGAAAAGAGGGATACAAATATAAATATGGAAGAGTACTATCTTGTGTTACAGTGTCAAAGAAGGAAGTTGGCTTAGAGTAGGCATTTCTACATACATCCGAGTGTCAGACTAGAGGTGGAAACAATGTGAATGAAACAACAGATCTGAAATAGAAACTGTATCCTGACCTCTGAGAAGGTGGTTCCTACTGCCACATTAAGGAAAACAGGCCAGACGCTGATGCTTACTGTTAGATAACTGAATAACTCTGGTCACCTGACTTGAACTTCAGTCTGTATCCTTTTGTATTTTCATTAGATGATATCCAGACATAAGCTAATCACTGTGGGAGCCTTGACAGTATGGGTTAATTTTATCATTGTTGCCTAGATAGTACTGAAAGAATACTTAACAACCTTTGCATAGGTATCTTCTTTCCCCAATCAAATACACTCCCATAATATAAACATTTTTAGGCTTTTATCTCAATTTATATACCAATATTCCAATTGTTCCAGGTTTAATACATATGTACTAGAGCATAATACTATTATGGCATATTACTTGGCTTAGATGTATTAATGGGATAAAATCTCTCAAGCTTTGCCTGCTTAAGGTCTTCATTAACTAAATGATACTAATTTCTTATTTACTAGTAGAGACGCTCCAATATAAAATCCTCTCTTGATGCTGGTTACTGGGTCAGAAAATTTTATTACCAAACAATACTCTCACTCTTATTTTATAATAAAATGTTATTTATTATAAAAATGTCAATATTAATAAACATCTCTCTCTTAAGCATAATGAACACAAATCACTGAAGGAATGGTATTTTAGTTCACTATAATTTTAATATGCTTTTATCTCATCACTGTTCTTGCAATTGCTAATACTCCAAGTACTGATATACTCTGATGAATTCTTCCTCATCAACTTTCCTTTTATCTGAAGGATTATTTCTCAAAGTTTCCTATATGTTCTGCAGTGTTTAAGAAAATTACATACCTATAGTCTAATATTTTTAATGTTACGATAGCGTGTACATTGACTCTGGATTCACTTGGTAGTGTCATGGCAGTCTCAACAGAATCACTTTGACTAGGTCCATCATCTGGCAAGAGAAAAGTTATATGAAACCAATATATATAATATAAAGTCATTTTTAAATTCTTGAATATATATAAAAATGGTATACATGATTTCTAGATATTATTGGTAAGAATGTTTTTAGTCATATACTTTATTTCTAATAACTCAAATCTAGGTCTAGAATTTAATATTTAATTAATAGAAAATAGATAAAACTATTATAATATGGCTTTAAAATCTTTTAATAAATCCTACCAAGAAAATTTGGGAGTAGGAAAGAACCTTCAAATAACTACAATCTCTCAGAAGAAACAATAACACTAATCCTTCCTCTTAAGAAAAATAATATGGTTTATTAGAATTTGTTAACAAAGGAAAAATATTACTTCCCACAAATGTCTATCAAATAGGCATACACCTATCTTCTTCGGAGTTAGGACATATGGAAACTGATTATCCTCGATCATTTGAAACTGGGGGATTTACATAATTGAGTAAGCTTTTGGTACATTATTCATGTTAAGAGGTTTTTTTTCAGCAAATGCAAGACTTTATTTTCAATAGAAATTACTAACATACATGCATACTTACACACTCATACACAATTAACTCCCTCACTAGTTTCCAAAGACTGTTTTAACACTGTCATCATATGGTATAAAGAACAAAACAAACATAAATCATACACATCAAAAAGAAATGGCTTTGTGACTTATTGGCAAAAGAGACTTCAAGCCATCCAGACAGAAGTAAAATAAGACTATTAATTTTCAACAATGTGAAAAAAATGAAATAGTCCTAGCATTCATCATACGTTAAGAGCATAAGGCATACCAAAAGAACATAAAACAATTAGTAGTATCTCTGATCTTGCTTCAGCCCAGCAGGCATTTAATGAACATTTGTTGAATACTATGAAGTATATTTCTCTTGCATGGAGCTCATCAATTATTCACTAATCAATATCATTAAGCTAGTATTTCTTATGCAAATATCATATGGATATTTTGTTCATAGAAGAAGCACAGAATAAAAGACAGTATCAAATAGAAATAAAAGACATCAAAATATTTATTAGTATTAAGTAAATGCTTTGGTATTTAGAAGTACCCTAGCATTTTGGTTATGTCATTTTAAAGAATATGTAATATATATTGCCAAATTACATCAGCAGATAGGAAACATTAAACCAGCAACAAAACCCAGCATTATTTTTTAAATATACGTGTATACTAGCATGACAACATACTGAGATGAGTATTCTCAACACTTTCCAAAGAGCTACCTTTAATAATCATATTATATGTTAAAAAAAAAAAAAGAAGAAGAAGAAGAAGATAGCAGGAGGGGAAGAATGAACGGGGGAAAATTGGAGGGGGAGATGACCATGAGAGACTATGGACTCTGAGAAACAACTGAGGGTTCTAGAGGGGAGGGGGGTGGGGGAATGGATTAGCCTGGTGATGGGTATTAAAGAGGGCACGTTCTGCATGGAGCACTGGGTGTTATACGCAAACAATGAATCATGGAACACCACATCAAAAACTAATGATGTAATGTATTGTGAGTAACATAACATAATAATAATAAAAAAAATCAGCATCAAGAATGTAAAGAGGGAGCCCATTATCCCTTGGGAGGAGACTATACTAGAGATAGACTTTCTTTTCATTATATATCCTTGTATATCGGTTGAAATTTTTTTTACCATGTACATTTACTGACTTTTTAGTTAAAAAACTTAAGATGGCAATATTCCCTAAATTGATCTACAGATTCAATGTATTCCCTATCAGAATCCCAGGTGACTTCTTTGTAGAAATCAACAAACTGATTCTAAAATTCATGTGGGATAGCAAGAAACACACAATAGCTAAAACAAGACTGAGAAAAAAGAATAAAGGATTTACCTTTCCCAACTTCAAAATTTACTACAAATCAATGGTAATCAAGAGACTGTGGTACTGGCACAGGATAGACATACAGATCAATGGAATAAAATTGAGAGTTTAGAATGAACCCTGTATTTCTGGTCAAATGATTTTCAACAAAAATGATAACACCACTCAATGAGGGAAGAATAGTATTTTCAACAAATGATACAAGGAAACTGGATAGCCACATGCAGAAGAATTAAATTGGATCCTTATCTCATACCATATATAAAAATCAACTCAAAATGAATCAAGTACTTAAATGTTAGAACAAAAGTATAAAACTCATAGAAGAATACAGGAAACAATTTTCATAAAACAGGTTTTTGCAAAGGATTTTTAGACATGAAACCAAAAGTGTAAGCAAAAAAGAAAAGGAAAAAATAAATAAATTGACTTCATCAAAATTAAGATAAAAAAACACCTTTTGTATTTCAAAGGACACCACCAAGAAATGAAAAAACAAACCCACAAAGGACTAGAAAATACTTGCAAATCATGTATCCAACAAGACATTTCTATCCAGAATGCATAACGAACTACTATGACTCAATAATAAAAAGATCAAAAAAATTAAAAATTGGGCAAAGGATCTCTCATGAACATACATGCAAAATTCCTCAACAAAATACTAGCAAGTTGAATATTAAAAAGTATTTTAAAAATTATACACTGTGACTAAGTGGGATTTAACCCAGGTATTTAAGTCTAGTTCAGCATTCAAAAATCAATCAATGTAATGTTTCACATCAACAGGCTAAAAAAAGAAAAATTATATGGTCATATTAATAGATGCATAAATAAACACTAACACTCCTTTATGATAAAAACTCAGTTTTTTCTACAAAAAACCTAAAACTCACATCATACTTAACAGTGAGAAGCTTGAAGCTTTCCCCCTAAGATTAGGTACAAGGTAAGGATACCCCCTCTCACCACCACTCTTTCTGAACATCATACTGAAATGTACTTGTTAATGCCATACAGTAAGGAAATGAAATTAAAAGTATATATATTGGGAAGGAGGACATAAAATAGTCTTTGTTCACAGATGACATGATCATAGGTAGAAAATCTAAAAGATGTGACAAGAAAAACCTGAAACTATTAAGAGATTATAGTAAGGTTGCAGGATACAAGGTTAATATATAAAATTGCTTTCCTTTGTATCAATAATAAGTAGAATCTGAAATTAAAAACACAATACTAACTACATTAGCATCCCCCAAGTGAAATACTTATATATAAATATGACAAAATATGTGTAAGAGTCTATGAGGAAAACTATAAAACTCTGATGAATGAAATCAAATAACTAAATAAATGGAGAGACAGTCCATACTCATGGATAAAAGGTCTCAATAAAGTCAAGATGTCCCTTCTTCCCTACTTGATCTATAGATTCAATGCAATCTCAATCAAAATCCCAGCAAATTATTTTGTGGATAGTGACAAACTGATTCTAAAATTTATATAAAGCAGCAAAAGACTCAAAATGGCCAACGCAATATTGATTGGAGAACAACAAAGTTGGAAGACTGGCACTATTCAACTTGAAGACTTACTATAAAGCTACTGTAACTGAGACAGTGTGAAGCTGACAAAAGAACAAACAGATCAATAGAACAGAACAGAGAGCCCATAAATAGACCTCCATAAATACAGTCAACTCATCTTTGACAAAGGAACAAAGGCAATAAATATAATGGAGTAAAGATGGTCTTTTCCACAAATGGTGCTGAAACATCAGGAAATCCACATGCAAAAAAGAATTAGATTTATTCATAACTGCCAATACTTGGAAGCAACCAACATATGCTTTAGTAGGGTAAACAAATAAACTATAGTACATCTAGACAATAGGTTATTCAGTCCTAAAAAAAATGAACTATCAGACCATGAAAAGCATGGAGGACACTTAAATGTGTACTACAAAGTGAAAGAAGTCAATCTGAAAGATTCCAATTACACGACATTCTGGAAAAGGCAAAACTATGGAAACAAGAAAAAGATTAATGGTTGCCAGATATGGAGTGATTGAGGGGATAACAGGATAAATAGGCAGATCACAGAAGATTTTTAGGGCACTGAAAATACTTTGTATGATATTACAATGGGGAATATATATCAGTTGTCCAGATCCATAGAATATACTACACCATTATGATGTGTCAACGCAGGCTCATCCGTGGTAAAAAAAATGTACCATTCAGGTAAATGATTTTGATAAATGGGGGAGGCTATGCATGTGTGGGGGCAGAGGATATATGGGAAATATCTGTACCTTCCTCTCAATTTCATTGTAAACCTAAAACTACTCTAAAAAAATTAAGTCTTTAAAATTTTTTTTTATTATTCTGATATGACTTCTGACTCATATCATAATAATTAAATTTTTCTGGAAGAGAAAGCATACCTGGAAAAGAAAGGAAACTCCTTGATTGGCAGGAACTAAGAGTCTTAGAAAATTACATTAATTTATTTGAAGGTCAAGGTGGAAAATGAAAACTGCTGAAGTATGTAATTATCTTATTCATTTAACATACACTGACTGGCAATATGGTGCTAGGTTAGGCTGTGCATAACCAACAGAGTCATGAGCTAAATTAACAGTTGCTGTATTTAGCCACTCAGTTGTAGAGTGTTTGTTATGCAGCAATACACTAGTATAGCTGAATTTTTTTTAATACTCTAGTGTATTCTACAATGATATACATAAAATAAAAATTGGGATATAGTACACTTTAGTGAAGCATTCAAAATTAAATGTATAGTATCATTTTCTCTTTTGGTACATATTCATGCTAAATTAACATATCCTGAAAAATGTGTTTTATCTTTATACTTGTCAGAACTTAGCAAAACTATGCATGAAGCAGATATTCAAATAACTATTAATATACTTCCCAGTCAATAGCATTCATATACGATATCATAAAAGTCAAGTTTTGCTCTTTTTTTCAAAATTAAAGCACTAGGATGCTTACTGAATCTTTGTTATATTTTCCAATTGATACACTGTAACACAAATCAAAGAAATTAAGGAAAAAATATTTATTATTGTGAATTTAAGGATGTTTTTATAACTTCAGCATATTTATGGCCTGTATGGATTCAGAATTAGAACCACACCTGCCAGGGACCATTTCCTCTAATTATTTACACCCAAAATACATGTAAATTTATGTACTGTTAGCACTTCACCGCCTTTCATACTATCCTTCAAAATATAGGAAAAAAATAGAAAAGCACCTTTAATCTTGCTTCGCAGATATTTTAAGACTTCTTGGGTTCCTTTCTGAAAAGGTGGAGAGAAGACACATATTCACCAAGATATACCTTGCAGTTTCATAGATCAACATGCATGTTTGAATTTCAAATTTAAAAACCAGAACTGAGTTCTAAATATGCTTACATTTATAATTTCTCTTCGTATAGTTCTCAAAGGATTTCCTTCTAGTGCCAGAAATTTCAAATGAAGTTTTCCCAATGAACAGGGTAGACTACAAAAAAGATTAAACTGATTTCAGGGAAAACATGAAGAGTAAGTATAATTCAACCAATAGTTGACTATAAAACTATAACAACATATGACAAACTATATATCATATGATAGTGTCAAAGAGAGCTCAGGTAACATAGGCCTAAAGTATCTCCCTTTGAAATGCTGAACATGTAAAAGAAAAAACAGATTTGTTTTGAAATTGTCATATTGTGACTGCTAAAAAAAAATGTGAGCTACAAAACATTTGCTAAGTAAAAATTGTAAAAAGTAAATTTGAATGAATCAGATTCAAGATAGCCATACTCAAGGATACTAAATGTTTTGATTTTTTTCCTTCAAGTAAGCAAATGAAATTCTTTCCTAATAACCTAATATTATTTAGGTTATTTATTAGTACAAAAACACCTCTATCCCAAAATTACTGTGATCAACCTACAATACCAATTTATTTAATGAGATTATAATCAAACTGCTTCTGTTCTTAATCTTTCAGTAGCTCCCCATCTCTTAACGAATGAAACTTACTCTTCACAGGCATTTTAAGGACCTATTCTATATGGCCTCAATTTACCTTCAAGCCCTAAATTCTTACAATCTCTCTAATTGCACCCTATTTACCAGGTCAACTTGATTCCTTGTTGTTCTCTCAATATACCCCTACAATTTCCTGAACTTTCAAGGTTTTCTTTGTGCAGTTTTGTCCCACCAAGTGAATCATTCTGACCACCGTACATGTGCACTTGAAACTCAAGGTCATCCTTTAAAGATCATATGGTGGGACTAAAGTGAGGCATGACCCTGAAGGTGAGTGTGCTCTTAAATTCTGTGCTCTAGGCACTTAACTTGCCTCGCCCTAGTCCCAGTCCTAATGATCATCTAAAAACGTTTTTTCTGGGGTGCTGGGTGGCTCAGTCAGTTGGGCATCTGCCTTTGGCTCAGGTCATGATCCCAGGGTCCTGGGATCGAGCCCCATATCAGGTTCTGTTGTCAGCGGGGAGCCTGCTTCTCCCTCTCCCTCTCCCTCTCCTTCTGCCTGCCACTCTGCCTACTTGTGATCTCTCGCTCTGTGTCAAAAAAAAAAAAAAAAAAAACTTAAAAAAATAAATAAAATAAATAAAAATGTTTTTTCTTCTACAAAATCTGCCCTGATTCCTCTCAATAAATTGCTGATACCTCCATTTCCTTTAAGCCCTCAAAGCATTTTATATCTCTCCCATGGCTTTACATTCATTTAATAAATTCAACAAAGATTTATCAGGTACCTTCTAAATACCCAGACACTGATCTAGGAGTTAGAGCAGTGAACAAAACAGATAAAAACCCTGACTTCTTAGTTTATGTTCTAAGTGGATGAGAGTAACTTATAAATATATCTGATTCTATTAGTATTTTAAGCTTGCTGCCAAGGACCAAATCTAACCATTCTTTGTAAGTCTGCATATGATACTTGTTCAATAAATGTTTAGTGAATTCAGTTGAGAAAAAAGATCTCTACGTATTTTTTTACAAATCTTATTTACTTATTAACTTATGAATTATAAACAAATGCAGGTATGATTTCTTAGTCCTTTGATCTTTAAACTTACCTACTAATATCATTGTTGCTTAGGTCAAGCCTTTCCAAAGACTGTAGTAGTGTAATTTCATCTGGAACAGATTTTAACTTATTATCCCGCAGGTCTAGCACAAGGACAGAATTCAGATGCTTAAGATGTTCTGGCCCTAATATTTCAATCTGGTTTTCACCTACATGTAATTCCTACAAAACCAAAGATGAATCATATGTATTTCTGTCAATTTTATATTAGATGATAAAAATAAAATTGAAATCTTAATTTCAAATCACTGAAAAATACATGGAAAAAAACATAAGCTTCTAATTACTAAGGTGCTTAAGTTTTCAATTACAATTAAGCTAAAAATGGTAAAAACAGAACACTTCCAAGGATTTTCTGATAATTTAAAAATAATTAAAGATATAATCTGGCAGAAAGTTCAAAGTTTACAAACCAAAGCACAGAAATGATTTAGTAGTTACATTTATAGAATTAATAAAAATACAAATCCAAGAACGATGATGATAAAAAATTTAAAGTTTAAAAATAAGTTGGAATGAGCATAAAAAGTTATAATCAGTTTGTTGTTACTTCTTTATTTATTTGAGAGAGAGAGAGCGCGCGAGTGAGCAGGTCAGAGGCAGGGGGAAAGAGAAAAAGAATCTTCAGGAGACTCCATGCTCTGTGGGGAGCCCTACACAGGGCTCCATCTCACAACCCTGAGATCATGACCTGAGCAGGAACCAACAGTCAGACACTTACCCAACTGAGCCACCCAAACATCCCTCATTAGTGATTATTAAATATAGTGATTTCCCATTAACAGAATCTATAATTATCAGATGTATAACTAATCTTTAAATAACTTTTTCAGTTCCTTTTATCACTGCCACCATTCTGTTTAAGAGAAGCCCTTTTAACTCTAACACATAAAAGTATACATGAAGGAAAACAAAGCACGGCAAATTTAAAAGACAATGTTAATGCTATATACTTAAAACCAAAAGAAAGTAATTAATTTTAAACAGACCCAATTATGATTAGGTTAACATGAGAGGTGGCAACTTACAGAATTAGATATATATTCCTTCCTAGTACTCCAGGTGTCCTACAGTATGACTCCACCTTACTATGTTAGCCTCATTATCTACCTCTCCAGTTATATACTACTCAGATGAAATGTACAAATTCCTATATTTAAGTTAATTATTTCTTAAAAAAAAAAAAAAATCTACTGCTGGGCGCCTGGGTGGCTCAGTCAGTTAAGCGTCTGCCTTCAATTCAGGTTATGATCCCAGGGTCCTGGGATTGAGCCCGGCATCAGGCTCCCTGCTCAGCAGGGAGTGTTTCTCTCTCTATTCCTCTGCCCCTCCCCACTGTTCATTCTCTCTCAAATAAGTAAATAAAAATCTTTTAAAAAATTTACAGGCTTCTTAAAAAAAAAAAAATCTACTGCTAACAATACCATTAACATAGTCAGACTAAAATTCTGAAAAATATAGGAAAAACATAGCACTTATAACTAATACATATTCCCAACGTAAAACAAGATTAAAAATTTCATTTTCATAATTAACTTTTGGAAAATATATAGTTTAATAATCATCTAAATATTACCTTTAATAATCTACAAGAAGGAAATTCTGGTAGAAAACGTAATTTATTCCTCCGCAAATAAAGCGATTCTAGTGACTCCATGTTAGCCAATTCAGGGGGTACAGCTTCTAAGAGATTTGAATTACAATCCAAATGCTTTAATCCTATAATACATAGTAAGTGAAAAACAAAAATACTTTAATAAAGAGAAAAATATTGGTCTATAATTGTATGCACATTCAAAAAAGTGTACATCACCATGAATTACAAACCCACGCCACTGTATACTGCTATAATAATAAATACTAGAATACCACTGAATGACATAAACATAAACTGAGATTGCTTTTATACTTAATTATAATTAAAGAGATATGACATTAAAAATGATGTTTAATAATGGTCCAAGTCATCTTTGTAATGATAAAAAACAAAATACTCCAATACTCTGTTAAGGTATTCTAAAATATACAAACTACAGACTATGAGATATTATTTCCCTCAGTAATTATACATCTTTATTTTTTTTAAGATTTTATTTATTTAGAGAGAGAGAGCAGGGGGAGGGGCAGAGTGAGAGGGAGAAAGAGAATCTCAAGCAGATTCCGCAGTGAGCACGGAGCCTGACACAAGGCTTGATCTCACAACCCTGACATCATGACCTAAGCCAAAATCAAGAGTCAGCCGCTCAACCAACTGAGCCACCCAGGTGCCCCAGTAATTATACATCTTTCAAAAGAAAAAGTTTAAGGTAGTTAAAGACATACATGCATGCAACACTAGCTGTATGAATGGATGTCAAATAACTGGCTAGTAGTAGCTTAGACACATGTATTTAAATTTGGCAAGTTGACTTTCTGTCAAAAAGCCTTGGATTTCTATGTTTGTCCTCCTATTTTTCCATCTATCCATACTGTCTCTTTCTCCCTCCATCCTCTTTCTTTTCTTTTCTTAATTTTGTTTAAATTACATGCTTTCTCTAACATCTTAGCTAACACTATGGACAAGAATGCATACTATAGCTCAAGAAAGATGTTCTTACTTGCAGCATCTCTCTTACCTCCTGGATCTATCTTTCTTAAAAAGGCATATAAGAAAACAAAAATGGAAAAAAGTAAAGGTCTTCTTTCCCTTAAGAATTCAATAAGCAGCTTTCTCCCTAATACATATCACAGATTCTTCTACTTACGATGGCCACCACATATTTTCCACAATTCACTCTCAACCCTCTAGTTCGAATAGGTGATATACACTTTACAACTTTTTTGCTGTACTTTGAGCCTATCAATTTTAACATAATGCAAGACTGAGTTGATATTGCCTTAGACTGCTTCTTTTAGTATTTAAAGATGCTAACTGCTTTCAAAACAAATGTAATAATACTACTTTCAACAAATACTATAATAATTTATGTATTATTTGACTAGAGCATTTTTAAAAATGTCACAATTGGGAGCCTAGGTGGCTCAGTCTGTTAAGTGTCTGCTTTCAGCTTGGGTCATGATCCCAGGGTCCTGGGATCGAGCCCCGCATCAGGCTCCCGGATCAGCAGGGAGTCTGTTTCTCCCTCTGCCTCTGCCTTTTCCCCTGTTTGTGCTCTCTCTCAAATAAATAAATAAATAAATATAATCTTTAAAAATAATAATAAAATTAAAAATGTCACAATGTGATTCACCTCAAATCCAGTAAATTCTATAAAGAAAAGTTTGTTTTAAAAGTTAGACACTATAGTTTTCACAACTGTTTGCATTTAAGAGCACTGAGAATATAAGCAGTGCATAGTGGAAAGAGCAATGGGGATGGAGTAAGAGGATTCAAGCCTTATAGAACTGTTGTGATTCAGAGGCGCCTGGGTGGCTCAGTTGGTTAAGCGACTGCCTTCGGCTCAGGTCATGATCCTCGAGTCTGGGGATCGAGTCCCACATTGGGCTCCCTGCTCAGCAGGGAATCTGCTTCTCCCTCTGACCCTCTTCCCTCTCGTGCTCTCTGTCTCTCATTCTCTCTCTCTCAAAGAAAGAAAGAAAGAAAGAAAGAAAGAAAGAAAGAAAGAAAGAAAGAAAGAAAAAAGAACTGTTGTGATTCATGCCTTGGCTCTACAATATATAACATAATTTCTAAGCGAGGTTTATGAATCTTTAAAATGTAAAAAATATTCATCCCCCTAACTTACATCCTCCTAACATCACAACTTTGTGATGGCAAAACAATATATGTAAAAGCATTTGAGTTATAAAGAACCATACAAATGTTAGATGTTGTTCTTGGCATCCAGTCATTAATAGTGAAATAACAACTAAATGTCCTACTGGTGATAGTTTAAAAGTATCACTGTCATGGCTAAAGGAAGAAAGCATCTGATCATTAATTATATAGTATACTGGAAAAACTGCTATAAATTCAAAGTATTTTTCTACTGATTTCCCTCATTTCCCATCTCTCAAGATATGTTCACCCAACTGATGAAAAAAAATCCAAGCTTCTTATATATTAAGATAATGTATTTTATGTTTAGCTCTACTTTTTAATACCTTTATTGAAAAATGGCAAAGATAAGCAAAGTCTTTTTTTTTTTTTTTAAAGATTTTATTTATTTGACAGAGAGAGAGAGACACAGTGAGAGAGGGAACACAAGCAGCGGGAGTGGGAGAGGGAGACGCAGGCTTCCCGCCGAGCAGGGAGCCCGATGCGGGGCTTGATCCCAGGACCCTGGGATCATGACCTGAGCCGAAGGCAGACGCTTAACGACTGAGCCACCCAGGAGCCCCAAGCAAAGTCTTAATTACCGGTGTCCCAGGTAAAGGTTCCCCTAAAATATTAACTGGATTTATGGAAGATTTAACTTATGTATCCTATTACAAATGACAAATGACTACTAATATAAGTAAAACAGCACAATTTTACAAATTTATCTCAAAATGATTTGTAATCAACTTTACAAAATCACTCCTATAACCTCCATAAGATGGAGGTTTAAAAAAATGAAGAGGGCTTATATCTGATTAGCAGAAAAGACTAGATAAGGTAAATAGTGTACAGCTGACACACAGTATGTTCATTAACCAAGAAATAATAATAGTTTGCTTTTAAACAAAAAAATTCACTATAATGATTTTGCCCTCTAAATCAAGAATTCTAAGATAATTAAGTAAAATTATTTAAAAGGTACTGAAATGTGCCTTTAATTTCTTTATCCCTTAATACTAGTTCTAGAATATGTTAAATATGATGGTGATATGGTAAACTCCAACAGAATCACTATTTTAACCTTTTTTTTTTTTTTTTTTTTTTTAAATGATTGACCAGGGTGCCTGGGTGGCTCAGTTGGTTAAGCGACTGCCTTTGGCTCAGGTCATGATCCTGGAGTCCCTGGATCGAGTCCCGCGCATCGGGCTCCCTGCTCTGCAGGGAGTCTGCTTCTCTCTCTGAACCTCCCTCCTCTCATGCTCTCTATCTCATTCTCTCTCTCAAATAAATAAATAAATAAATAAATAAAATCTTTAAAAACGATTGACCATTTGGGCAAAACTAGACTATCTCCTGGCATCATTACTTACGGACCACGAGGAGGCTACAGCTGTAACATAACCACAAGTAGAATCACCTATTAAAGGGGAATAACCTCTTCATGAATGTTGAATAAATGAAGAGATAACATAGCTCAAAACCCTAATCAATATCTCAGGTATATAATTTTACCATAACTCATAATCATATTTTATTTTCCTCTTTTTAATATGCCAAAATATGCTTTTGGTGGGAACTGTTTAGGAAGTGAAGCTAGACAATAATGGTCTGGAGAAAATCTGACTACTTGCTATTATTTGCTTGACCTGCATAAAATCTATTATTTTACTTCCCTGTAACTAACAATATTAAAATTTATTTTTCTAAATATAAGTTGCACCAACTTCACATTTATATATGTTTTAAAATAGAGAAGATTTACTTTTCATTCCACTTATTCCTGCTGGCAAACTCTTCAGCTGATTACTGGAAAGATTGAGTCGTACCAGACTGGAGAGAGAAGAAAAACTAGCAGGAACAGTTGTAAGACGATTGTTGGAAATATCCTTTAGAAAGAGAATGAATGAATGAATCAATCAAGTAATCAATCGATAAATAAATAAATAAGTAATTGATCCCTCAAAGGGTTTCCAGGATTTTGAGGAGAATGCAACATAAAGAAAGACTATTTCAAAGGTGATATGTTTTGTAACCCTCATTCACTGACAATTTCACAGGTTGTTTGTCATTCATTACCTCAGTGTTCTATTAGACCACTATGTGCCGAGTAATGGAGCAGAAAGGAATCAGAATGAATTCTGACTTCAGAAATACTTTACATGAAGGTTTCTGTTATTACTAAGTCATGCTATATCATGCATCATGTTTTTAATTAAAAAATCCATTTGTCCATCTAATATTTAGTGAGTACCTAAGATAATTAGGCAAACTGTATAGGTAAACTGTAATATGAAAAGAAAAATGTCTTTGCAAGAGAAAAAAAATCTTGAGAGACAAAAAATAAAGCTGAGAAAATGGACATTTTAATTTTTAAGGAAAAAATATTCCCTCTCGGTTCTTCTGCAGACCTCAGCAAGTCTGCTGTGACTAAGTCCAGAAGTTTACTCTACTCTCTGCTTTTCCTTCATTCAAGCTTGCCTAATTAATGTCTATATCTGTTTTTTTAAGTCATTGTTTCTGTTTTTTCTTTAAAACATAAACAGTTCAGAAAGAACTGTTTTTTGAAACTCCATTTAAAAGACAATCAGATAACTCTTATGACATCTGAATTAGGTATAAGTACTCCACTAGCTATCAGCAAACTGTTAGGTAGGGCCAGTTGCAACAATGAATACAAAAAAGTTACTTAAGGGAACTTGTTCTCTGAAGATGGATTTAGTCTAACATTAAACAATTACATTCTGTAACTCTAAATCAATTAAGAAGATAGTAAAAGGTAAAAACACTAGACCAGCTATTTTTTTTATAAAACACAGATATAATTATAAATAACACAAAATAATGTATCACAATCAACAACAGGAAACAACAATCTACAACTCCAATACTCTAAACACTAAGAATGAACAGATTACTATGAAATAAATACTTTGTAATATCAAAAGTTACTGACACTAAATGCAATGTAGTATTCTGGATTGGATCCTGGAACAAAAAAAAAAAGGACATTAGTGAAAAAACTGGGAAAATCTTAATAAAATCTGTAGTGCAGTTAGTAATACTGTACCAATGTTAATTTCTTAGTTTTTCAAATGTCCCATGGGTATGTAAAATATCAAATTAAGGAAAGCTAGGTGAAGAGTATTGGCAACTCTCTGTACTCTCTTTACATTTTGTAAATCTAAATTTATTTCAAAATAAAAAACTTAAAAAAAGTTTTTGATACAGAAAAGATACTAATTCACAAATTCTTAAGATAGTTTAAAAAACCCAAATCAACAAAATTACTAAAATTAAACATTTAATTATTGCAGTTAATAATTAGATATAAAATATAAGTACATTATACATAAATTAATCAGTATTTATGCTGTCATTTCTTCAATAAATATTCATTTAGTACCATTGCTAAGCAGCTTTTATATAACTTTAAGAAATATTACTAGCTTAAATTATTAAACACGCTTATATTTCTAATGTTGTGATATACTGTTGCTCACATTTATGATTAGATACTGAGTCCTTAATAATACAATTCTCAACTGAAATATCCTTTCATTATGCAAATGACTATCCGGGAACCCATAAAAAGGAAACAACTGGGAACTGCTACAGTTTATTAGGTTTCCTTTCTAATCTAAATACTCTTCTTTTTTTATTTACCAATTGCTATCTTTTACCATTAGACTTTATAAGAAAATCTGATGGCCCCTTCCTTAGCCATTCATTTTATCTACCTATGCCTTTAACTTTCCAAACCTTATTTCCAATCTGATCAAATTGAAAGACAGATACTGAAGAATGGCTGCAGACGGTTATAAATGTTGATTTCAAACACTAGAGCAGATGAGGGGAATATCAAGGAAGATGTATTTACAGGAAAAAAGTAGAGGTAAAAGAATTAACTTCCCCTTTAATGAGAAATAAACTTTAAGACTAAATTGACATAAGTTTTTGAAAACATGTAATAGGGAAAACAGCAAGAATGTAAGAGGAAATAACTATGTGGAGTAAAGATTATATATTAGAACAAGTAATCTAACCTAGCTAGTCTTTCAGATTGAATATTTTAGTGGAATCTTACTCCTTCAGGGGTATAATGGGAGAAAAAAAGGGATACACTTTGGAGTCAAACTGACATGTTAAAATCCTGATTCATTACTTATTCATTACATGGCTTCAGATAAGGTACTTTTTTTTTTTTTAATAAACCGTAGTTCCATATCTGTATTAGGGGATAAAACTATGTACCTTGCTATATGTAAAGCACAAAGCAAAGTGCCTATTATTTTCATTATTCTTAAAATAATATCTGTATTGCTTGATGGTTATCTCTATTTAGGATGTGACATAGATGGAATGAAAATTTTGCGAGGTAAGGTGGACATTTTGAAAAATAGGGAAGAAAAGGCAGGCCTTAAAGGGACCGTCTGAACACTCAAAGGACAGGAGGAGGGTTATAGGGACAATAAAGAAGGAATGGGTATACAAATGGAAATTCATATATGCTAAAGACACCTTTCCCCTATTTTGCAAAGCCATAAAATCCTCTGAATAAGAGTCATCCTTATCACCCCCTTCCACACTCTACTCTTAAATTAAAACCTAAGGTGATTTTATAAGAAAAAATAGGAAAAATAAATTTACAATTACTAATTTAGCAATCTAATTGAAATGCAGTTTCTGATAATCTAGTCCTATAATCATCTGTCCATGTTTTTCATGATTTCAATCATACATCCAATTTCTCAGCCTGATGAAAAATCACATCAGCCCCAAATTATATAAAAATTGGAAAATCACAACTTACCAAATCTTCTAAATTGAAAAGTTGTTCAAATCCCTCTGGAATGCAAGTTAGTTCATTATGCTGGAGATATAGACCTTTCAGGTTTCTTAAATTTGTAATTTCTTCAGGAAGTATTTGCAGTTTGTTATGGCTATTGATTGATAAAATAAATGCTGAGTAATTCAGTAACAACATAATAAATATTTGTAAAGGTATTTTTGCTAACCAACTACATGGGCTCATTTTTAAAAATGAAATATGGTTACTAATTCTAAAAACTTATCAAACTTCACATCCGAAAAGTATATAACTCATTAAGATTATAGTCATCTAAAGTAATCAAATTGAGAGTTTCAAAGAAAACAAAGAAATAAAGGTTTTTATTTTTATTTTTTTTAAAAGATTTTTATTTATTTAACAGAGAGAGACACAGCAAGAGAGGGAGCACAAGCAGGGGGAGTGGGAGAGCGAGAAGCAGGCTTCCTGGTAAGCAGGAAGCCTGATGCGGGGCTCGATCCCAGGACCCTGGGATCATGACCTGAGCCAAAGGCAGACGCTTAACGACTGAGCCACCCAGGTGCCCCAAGAAATAAAGGTTTTTAACCAAATAATTTGTGAACTTTTGATTGCTTCCTTATAACCTACTCTTGATTTTATACGCAATGTGAGAAGATACACTGGACTCTTAATTTTTCATACTGTATCTGAATTTTTTTATTTTATTTTAAAGATTTTATTTATTTGAGAGAGAGAGAGAGAAAGAGAGAGTAGTGCTCATGTGAGCACAAGTTGGGGGAGAGGCGGAGGGAGAAGGAGAAGCAGGCTCACCACTGAGCAGGGAGCCCGAAGCAGGGCTCGATCCCAGGACCCCAAGATCATCACCTGAGCCAAAGTCAGACACTTAACCGACTAAGCTACCCAGGCGCCCCTGTATCTGAATTTTAGAATTCTGACAGAGATATGGGCACATATACACTACAATGGAGTCACAGCTTCTATGGGGAATGTGTTTCTAAGCTAGCACTCAAGACAAAAATAGCTATTTCTGTTTAAGGGCCTGGTATGTCCAGCTGAATGTAATGTGCAACTCCACTCTTCTTTGTACTTAGATTTACTCAGCTCAGTCCTTCTGTAGAGGTACTTGGTTTATTTTTAGAAGTCCCAAGTCACTGAAGATGATACATTCCCTTATAATTAAGAGATGACCTGATTTAATTTATTCCCAGATTTACCTCAACTATTCACTTAGGAATTCCATTCTATTTTCATGCCATCTACAATTACTTAACAAGTAACAGGGTGAAATGAGAAATATAATGGGGTAAAAATAACCTTAAATTATATAAAAATAAAACTAGTTGGAACAAAAATACCAAAAGATGTCTTCTAAAATAAATAAAAACCACTAAAAAATTGTCAAAAATTGGTTATTATTGTTGGTCACTTAATTGAAATCTTTGTAGATTTCACAGGGATGTAGTTGAGCAGAGATGTAATTCTAGCTACATATTTCCTCCATTCCTCTCCCCATCTATTTCCTCCATCCTAATGCTTATACTCTGAAGTGTTGGAAGCTAAAGCTAAAGCCAAAGCCATACCCAATCCATACTCCCTCACATATTCTCTCAACCCTCCCCATTCTTGCCTTTGCAGGCCACATCCTGCCTTGGACTTGTATGGGGAAGAGGTTCTGATGTAGCTTTCAACAACTAGCACCTTTTATGTATAGATATTTTTGTTGATTTGTGGTAATATTTTCAACAGATGAGGACTGTAACTTAAGGAAACGTTTTCCCTCAATTAATTTACCCACAGAATACTGAGACTTGATTATGCTATGTTAGATAGATCTGTAACCATACCAATTTTATGAACCACAGTTTTTCAAACTATGTTTTGAACACTTAATAAACCTTTTTATTTTATCTCCTAAATGAAATCTTCCCAAATCCCTTTCCCCTAATCTGTGTATATATAATACACATAAGGTACTTATTATTTCTTGGAAGTCTAGATGTGTATTAAAGGGCAAACAAAGTTAGCCAGAGCCTTAGCCACCTGGCTTCCTACATACCTACCAACATGTACCAGAAGCATATCTGTAGAACTCCAGGAGTCCTCAGAAAAGTTTAAAAGCTACTAATACTAAAACCATGACATTTTTCATCATTAATGAAAGAATTATTTCAAATTTTTTCCTATTGCTTGACCTAGATATTTTTTAGAATATCAAAGTAACTTAAAACCTGAGATATCAACAAAAAGGTTACTAAAATAACCAGTAAAAATTGTTACATAAAAATAAAACAAAAAGAGGACACATGGGTGGTTCAGTTAGTTAAGCATCTGCCTTTAGCTCAGGTCATTATCCCAGGGTCCTGGTATTGAGCCCCAGGTCCTTGGGCTCCCTGCTCAACAGGGAGTCTGCTTGTCCCTCCCTCTCTGCCCCCCTGCCCACTTGTGCTCTCTCTCTCAAATAAATAAAATCTTTTTAAAAATTAAAATAAATATATAAGTAAATAAAACAAAAAGTACTTAAAAAAATCAACTGGCCTTACATTTATAAAATCAGAAAAACATGCAGGCAATTCTGCAAAAATAATAAAAAATTCAACAAAAATCATCTGAGAAAATTTAAAATTCTTACTCTGGGGTGCCTGGGTGGCTCAGTCGGTTAAGCACCTGCCTTTGGCTCAGGTCATGATCCCAGGGTCCTGGGATCAAGTGCCGCATTGGGCCCCCTGCTCAGTGGGGAGTCTACTTCTCCCTCTACCCACCCCGCTCTCTGTCTCTCTCACTCTCTCCCTCAAATAAATAAAATCTATAAAAATAAATAAATAAATAAAAATTCTTACTCTGCTTTTACCACTTTGAGTTAATACAAAAATATTTTCTAGTATTAAAAAAAATTTTTAAAGAATATTAGATTTACACCCTTATATTAGCAATATTGAAATTAAATAAGCTTAAATTTTACCTGACATTAAGTTTCTGAAGATTTTCTAACTCTCTTATGGCAGAAGGAAGGGATGTCAGCTGATTATCATGTACCTAAAAGTTATTAAAAAACAGTCAATATCTTAGTCTTTTAATTAACCATATGAGTTTGCCATTGTACAGAATTCTTCAACAATAATTCTGCTATTCTAATTTAATAGTATACTTGGAGTATTGTTAATTTGTTCTATGTATAGAAGCAGAAAAGGAGTTTGAAGTTGACTAAGCTCCTGTTCAAAAGTCATGAAGTGGTAAGTCATCAATTTTAAATATTACAATTAAAAAAAATAACCTTACCTCATTCAGTGAAATTTCAATCTCAAATGAGAGATGAGAGGGTTAGAAACTAATAGCACTTGATGGTATAATTTATGTCAACATATACAAAAAATGAAAACAAGAAAGAGGAGGAGGACCTCTACTATGTTCTCATATTATTTTCAAGATATATGGAACCTTAGATTCAATCCATTCATTTTGCAAATGAGGAAAATAAAAACTTCTCTAGAAATTTGACCAGATTCAACACTTTCAGACATGAATTGGAAGATTTCTGATGTTCCTAAGTAAAGTACATCAAAACTCCACAGATTGCGAAATAAACTACTCATGCTTTACAATATGACGTGGCAACGAGACTAAAAAATAGTCCTTGAATAAACACACAAGAAGTTCAATAATTTAAGTCAGTACTGAAGTTTAAAAAAAAAAGTAATTCCAAGTACTGCTTTAATGTCTAGGTTGATGAAGAGAAAAATAACAGCAATAAAAGGAAAAAGATGAGCAACAGCAACCACTTGTTAAATATGGATTCTGTTTACATGCAATAATGCATTAAATTCTAAGAACAATTTTTAAAAATAGGTAGTAGTGTCAGTCCTGGTTTATAGATGTGGAAACTGAGGTACAATGAAGTAACTTTCCTGAGGTCACACAGCTATCAAGTGACGCAGTCACAATTGGAAGCCTTATGTTCTGTAAGTGCACTCTTAACCATCATGCTATGCCTATCAATAATTTATTCTTCCTTATGTTCTACCAATTAAACATGTGTTTTCTGCTTATCAAAGCCTAAATTTACCTTTAGAGTCTCCTTAACAACCCATATTGATACTAGTCAACTTACATCAAGAACAGTGAGTGCAGGCAGGAGTCGTAGGTCATCTGTAAGTGACTTAAGTTTATTGTTGGATATGATTAGTTTGGTCAAATCCGTCTGCTCCCACCATCGCTCAGTAGCACTGAATGAAAGATTCTGATTAGCTTCCTCAGGAATATCCACATTTATTCTCCAGACACACTGAGGTACTATTTCCATCACCACCACACCAAAAAGAAAGAAAACAAGAAGTGAAATACTAAGTGACATACTTTTATAATAGCCATTCAGTTTATCTATTGAAAAGCATTTTCTGAAACATTAAAAACTTTTTAAAAATTCAAAGAGCAATAAATTACAACTAAAGTTGATTTTGTTCAAAAACAGAATGTGATATGTATTTTATATATTAAATCTTACTTTTATTTTCTTTTTTTTTAAGACTTTATTTGTCAGACAGAGAGAGAGAGAAAGAGCACAAGCAGGGGAGGGGCAGGTAGAGGGAGAGGGAGAAGCAGGCTCCCCACTGAGCAAGGAGCCTGATGCGGGACTTGATCCCAGGACCCTGGGATCATGACCTGAGCTGAAGGCAGACGCTTAACCATCTGAGCCACCCAGGTGCTCCTTACTTTTATTTTCATTCAACTATATTTACTATACACATACTCTGCACAGCACATTGTAGTAGATATATAAGACAATAAAGAAGGGACTTTATCATTATGCTAATACAATAAAAGCATGAAAATCAACATTTACAAGGTGATGTCCTAAGTTTTATAACAGGAGTATATGCTGTCTGAGAAAGCACTAGTAATAATAATATCTAATAATAATAGCTAACATTTACAAATATCAGGCAATTTTCTAACATACTCATTTAAACCTCATAATAACTCTGAGGTAGGTGCTATTACTATTCTCATTTACAGATAAGAAAAATGGGACACAGAATGTATAATTTACCTAGGGCTATTAGCTAGTAGGTAGCAGAAATGGGATTCAAACATGTGCACAGCTATATTGTCTTGACTCTCAGTGGACATTTGGAAGGCATAACTAATTCTGGTAGCTGCTATTTTACCTAACATACAATTTTATTTCTTACTCCATCACACAATATTGTGTGAATTCTACTGCAGCAAATACAGTAACCTCTTAAACACAGCAAATAAGACCATATAAATTGAACAGGGAAGAGTCCAGTTTCACCACTATAAAATCTGAAACTCCAGAGGGTATTAACTTGCTATAGCGTTGTAGCAAAACTATTTTAGAGTCCTTCATTCCAGGGCACCTGGGTGGCTCAGTCGGTTAAGCGTCTGCCTTCGGCTCAGGTCATGATCCCAAAGTCCTGGGATCGAACCCCACATCAGGCTCCCTGCTCAGTGTGGAGCCTGCTTCCCCCTCTCCCTCAGCCTGCCCCCCCAACCCCTCATGTGCTCTCCCTCTCTCAAATAAATAAAATCTTAAAAAAAAAAAGTCCTTCATTCCTTCATAAAAGGACTACATAGTAGTATGATCTAGAACTTTCAGCGGTTATTAATCAAGGCAACAACTGGTTATATCCTGCAGTCATTGACTAAGATGTCAGAATGAGACTAAATGGAAAGCTGTGGTCCAAGTTTCAAATTCAGCACATTGAAGTATAATTCAGGATTACTAATCTGATATAATGGTTTTATAGTAGCAAAGCAAAGCTCCTGAAATCCATGAGACTTACACTCCTTCAAAAAAATGGGGTATCTATATTCATATTAGAATGAATGAAAAGATCCCTTTCCTACCCCTTCTCTCTGGTTAGGTAGCCTCTTCTTTATACTTCTACCAATGAATCCAGATAATATGAATATTATAGAATATAAGTCCATTCATGTTTCTGTTTGTGGATAGAGGTTTATTTTTAAAGTAAAGCAAAATAAAAAGAATTCACTCTCCCCAACTTTTTCGAGAGCAAAAGCACCATAAAATGTACCATTATTACTACTATTACTATTACCATTGCTACCATTATTATTATTATTATTTTGGTATATAGGTATGGATGGTTGAGTGGGAATAAGAAATAGAGATCAACTACAGATTAGCATGATAATTTATTGACACCAAAAGAATCCATATAACTGGCGATGTTCATGTATTTGACTAAATATCAATGTTACTCTTGAGAAATTTTTTTTTAAAAGTTACCAACATGCCATCCAGGTTCAGTCACCAACAAAAATTTCCAGAACAAAAAAACAAGGCAAGATGAAACAATACAAAACACACAAAAAGGTACAGAAGAAACTATGTGATACGCACAACTCTACTCCTAAGAAAATATATAGAGCATTTGTGCATCTATTTTTCTCTGATACCTATGTATCGGTACATGAGGATGATTATAATTAAAAAGCAATGTAATAACAAATTTTGGTGGGGACGAAGGCAGGGAGCACAAGAAATTCACACAACATAATGAAAATACCTGTTACCCATCAACTATACTAAATCAATGTTACAATTTTATCATTATTTCAGATTTTTTTGTTAGCAAAATTTGTCCTTGTGGGAACTATCAAGGAATGGATAACTGTTGATATTATATTGTTACTGAATATGTATCAATTTGCTTTTCCATAAACACTGACATACTGCTCATTCTTTTCCCCATTACAGTTTGTGAGGTATCCCAATTTCTTGAAGAGCTTACAGCTTCAAGATTCATGTCACTTTTCTCTCCCTACCCCAAAACACAAAGAACCACTAAAAGTTATAAAAAGTCCTAATTATTGAGGAATTCTATAGAGCCATCCTAAAATAGCTTACCAATGCATGAAACAATCAGGTAAAGATAAATGTCAATAGGCGTATAAATGTGAAAAAAATTACTATGTAGTCAGGTTTATTTATTTATTTATTTGGCTCCACACCCAGTGTGGAGGCCAACATAGGGCTTGAACTTACAACCCTGAGATCAAGACCTGAGCTGAGATCAAGATTTTGACACTTAGCCAACTGAGCCACCCAAGTGCCCCTCATTTGCTTTATGTAAAATTTAAAGTATTATATAAAATGTCAAATATATACATAAATTTAGAGAATAGTATAATGAAGTAACACTCCATGTATCCATCATCCACCTATAACAATTATCAACTCATGTCCAGTCTTGCTTCATAAATAATCTCATTTTATAATAATCTAAGCTACAATCATAAACTAGAAAAAGTACCCAAAGTAAACAAAAGCAAAGAAATAGAGGGGAAATCAATGAAACAGAATAGATAAAAAACAATGAAACCAATACCTGTTCTTTGAAAATTGGAATACCACCTTAGATCCTACAGATGTTAAAAAGATAAGGGAATATTATAAACAACTTTACATCTATAAATTCAACAGCTTAATTAAAATGAACAAATTCCTTGAAAGGGGGAAAAAAAACCACAACAGCAATATAAAACCTGAGTAGCCTTGCATCTATTAAAGAAATTGAATTTGCTATTTTAAATATTCCCATTTAAATATTTAAAACATATTTAAAACATATTTAAAACAAAGAAAACTCCAGGCCCAGATGGCTTCACTGGTGAATTCTAACAGACATCTGGAGTAGAAATGATATTAACTCTACATAGACTCTTTCAGGAAACAGAGGAAAGAGCAATCCCTCACTCATTTTTATAAAGCCAGCATTTGCCTGATACCAAAACCAGACAAAGACATTAAAAGAAAAAAGAAAAAGAAAAAAACTACAAACTCCCTAATGATTATAGGCTCAAAATTCCTTAACAAATTTATTACCTACATATAAAAAAATACATCAGAATCAAGTGGGAATGACATCAAGAATGAAAGACTTTTAACATCTGAAGATCAATGAGATCTATCATATTAACAGAAAAAAAAGACACCAATGATTCTCAAGAAATGTAAAAAAAAAAAAAAAAAGCATCTGACAAAAATAAACAAGAAGCAGCTCTCAAAAACCTAAGTACTGAAGGGAATTCCTTTGACCTAACAGAGGGTTTCTATGAAAACATATAGCTAACATCATACATAATAGTAAAGACTAAGTGCTTTCGCCCATTATCACTACTTCAGAATTTTACTCTGGGTCCTGACCAATGTAGTAAGATAAGGAAAATAAATAAATGGCATTCAGATTGGAAAGGAAAAAGTAAAATCATCTCTATTAGTAGAAAACATGATCATCTATGCAGAAAATCCTAAGGAATCTATAAAAAAATTATATGGAATGTGTTTAGAGATTCCACAGAATTCAAGGTTAATATACAAAAATCAACTGTGCTTCTATGTATTCGCAATCAATAAATGAAAATACTTTTTGGGGCGCCTGGGTGGCTCAGTTGGTTAAGCGACTGCCTTCGGCTCAGGTCATGATCCTGGAGTCCCGGGATCGGGCTCCCTGCTCAGCAGGGAGCCTGCTTCTCCCTCTGACCCTCACCCCTCTCATGTGCTCTCTCTCTTTCATTCTCTGTCTCAAATAAATAAATAAAATCTTTAAAAAAAAAGAAAATACTTTTTAAATGCTTAAAGATTTATAAGACACAGCATCTAAAACCATGAAATAGGGCTAAGCTTAACAAATATATGCAAAACCTTTGGTATGAAAATAAAAAATATTGCTGTGAAAATTTAGAGGTCTAGATAAGCAGATAAATATACCACATTACAAACTAATTAAGTTGTCACTTCTCCCCAAGGTGACTTACAGATTCAGCACAATCCTAATCAAAATCTCAGACGGCGTTTCCACAGAAATTAACAAGCTGATTCTAAAATGTATTATCAAAATGCAAAAGAACTAAAATAGATAAAATAACTTTTGAAACAGTAGAAAAAAGTTGTAGAACTTAATGGTACTTGATTTAAAGTCTTACCATAAAACTTGTCAAGACAGTGTATTAGTATAAAGATATATAAATCAATAGAAAAAATGAGTTCAGGAATATTCCATGCAATAATATATTATCAATTATTTTCAACAGAAATGCCAATTTAATAAGAAATAGTCTTTTCAACAAATGGCACTGGAACTGTAAATTCATGTGGATAAAAAAATGAACCTCCACCTTTACCTTATGACACACCCTAAAATTAACTTAAAATAGATCATAGACTTAAATATGAAAGACAAAACTATAAAACTTCTAAAAGAAAGCAGAGGAGAAAATCTTCACAGCCCCTGGGTGGATAAAAT